TAACAAGGAGTACGAGACCCAAGCGTTTCCCGAGCGCCACATATGGAAATTTCCAACATACCGGGAAATTCCTGCCCGGGAAAGTTCGGAGTTTCGCGTGCTGGGCCTCTGTTGATGTGCCCTCAACATTATGTGTGCAAGCGCTTGGCTTGGCGCCGGTGCGGTTCCGAACAGTTGAGTCATGTTCCGAACAGTTGAGTCCACCCCGCTATGGTACCAAGCAGTCCTTAGGCCTGCGCCTCCGACGTGGTATCACAACGCCTTCTCGTTTGGGCAGGAATGTCGCCGTCCTTCACATGAACTTTTTTGCGGCAGCTGGATGGATGGGTTCTGACTGGCGTCAGCGAAAAAAACCAGCTGCAAACGGTCAATATGCATGGTCCCGATGGTGGTCCTCATCGTTCTGCAGTCCAGAGGTCATCACCGACGGCCAGCAGCGTCAGACCAGGGATGCGCGGAGGTCCTTTTTCATTTTATGAGGTCAATTACTGTGGAGTCGGGGTTCTTCGCGATGGGGTCCCCGTTATTGACGGTTTTGGAAGCAAGTGTCAATTTCGGTCAAGCGGGCCTGGGCGATCCTTACTTGAGCGCAACGGCAGTGAGGAAGTTGAAACAGGCGCCGATACCGGTTCTGGGACCTCTGGGACCTCTGGGGCGGACGCTGGAGCTGTCGGACGTGGGTGTCTTGCGTTACACCGTCCGCGAGTGGCTGACGAAAGTGAGCGGGGTTGTGCAACTCGAGGATCAGACGATCGTCCGCGTCGCGCCGTTGCGGGACCAGGCGCCGGTGACCCGCAGCGCCTGGCGCGACTCCTTGGGCTGGCAGGTCAACGATTGGCGCGGCAACGAGTGGCGCTCCAATGACCGCTTCCCCAGTGATTTGCTGACCCCCTCCCACCCTGGCCCTGCCCCTGCCCCCTCCGACCCTCCGCGACTCGCTCGGGAGCTGTCGAACGGCCCAGTCCGGGAGCTGCCGCCTGCGACGCGCGTGTTTGCAAACACGTACGAGCGCACATCCCGGGCCGAGGCTGAGCCGCTGGGCGAGGCTGAGCCGCTGGGCGAGGCTGAGCCGCTGGGCGAGGCTGAGGACTGGGCGGACGGGTGGGGTCTTCCCGCGATGGAGCTCCCGGTCGAACAATGGGAACGGCTGCATTGCGTGCTGGGATCGGAACGGTTCGAACAGTTCGTGGACCTCTTCCAGCAACTGCTCGTCCACAGCCCCGTCTGTTCCGGTCGCCTGCCCGACGGCAGGGAGTTCCAACTGACACCGGACTCAGACGGGCGTCTGCAGTGGGTCGTGACCCAGGTGGGCCAGCCGCTCATGCACCAGCCGAACGAGAACGAGCCGGACCAAGTGAGAAGGAACTACCTTCACCAACTGGCCGCCAAAATCCTCTCCAGCGGCTGAACGCAAAGATTTAGGGGACACGCGTTGAAGGGAGGAAGGAAACGCTCGCTACCTTCGGAGGGAAGGAAATCCTTTTTTAGGGAAACGCACACGTTGACTAGCAGTTGTTGGTGTTCGAGCGGCGCAAGCCAAGTCGCACCGACGAGGATCTATGTCTCGCGTTCCAGCTGCCTTTGCCGAATGAATTAAAGGATGAGTGGGGAACGATGTAGCTTCTGGCATCGCAGGCTAGCCCGTGGGACGACTCACTTGAATCGGACTGGTATATGGACGTTGCAGGGCTGATGCCCATTGAGGAGACGATAGGAAGATGGGAGTCGAGGCCCGAATACCGTGAGAGGAGTCCGCTGACGTGCTTCAATGAACAACCTGACGAAAGCTTGGGCGTGTAAGATTACCGTTACCTTTGCCATTGGACGAGTGTGAAAGGCTACACGCCCTTGTGGGCTCGTATAGGTTCCAGCACTGCGCTTCCTGCATCTCATCATCGGACTTGGAAGCTCTGGGGTCTTAGACGTCGGACGTTCCGTCAAACTTGCCCTCAGCACCCGAGGTCCCCAGTGGCGGATCGGTGGAAGTAACCTGCCGCCGAAACGGTCAGTGCCCGGAAGAACTCCTGCCGCCAGACTGCGTGACACGCTCCCATACAACCAGCAGAACTCCGGGATCCTCCAGATCTCTCGTGAGTCTGCACACGTGCGTGAGCCTGGACTCGCGAGTTGCAACCATCGTTCTGACCAACTACGTCGGCGTGACGAAGTACCACCAACCGGAAAAAATATCGGTTGTCCAATTGTTGGTTCGAGGACCAATTTTTGCTTCGAGGACCACGGCTGAATAGCGTCCTTTGACTAACGTTTATTCAGGTTGACAATTTTGACAAGAAGGATTTGCGGTAGCGCCGGTTCAAATCGTAGATTGAGGAGGAAGTCGGCATGTGTTTCCGTGTA